GGCAAAAAAGACCTTATTCTGTCATTTTTTAAATATATTTTTATAAAATTCTTAGAGTTTCACATATGCATACAAAGTATCTTGATAACGTTCACCTTCATTCCTTCCCCCAAAGCCTACCAGATCCACCCAACTCCCATATTCACTAGACACTTTGTGTGCACACACGTGCAGATAGACAGACAGACAGATGGAGAGAGATACAGATATATCCCACTGAATTCAACTTGTGCTGCCATACATAGGCATGGGGCAATCTATTGGAGCAAGGCCCATCTACCAGGGCCACATCTTAAGAACAAAGCAAGCAAGCAAGCAAACAAACAAACAAAAACCTCTCCATCCTCTCCATCCTCCAGAAGCCATCAACTGCTTCTAGCAGTCAGTTCTCATATTTTTCTCAGTCTGAAATTTTTAGACGAAGTTGTTATTTCTGTCTAACTGTTTTCTACCCTCCCCACTTGGAACCCCATTGCATCTGTATTGGACACTCCCTGTCATCTCTGTGTTCATTTTTATTGACCATTCTCCCCCTACGCTTCATCTTCAAGAATCTCTCTTGCTGAGTCTTGAAGGTAACCCGTATTTCTCTCTAAAATATTTAATCTAGGGTATTTTGTTTCAGGCACTCTATTTTTATCCGAGGGAGCTCCGTCCAGCTCTTCGTATCTTTGTTTCCTGGCCCTTCTCGTGTTTGGCTTTCTGTTCTCGTAGCGATGTTGAACCGTTGTTTTAAGGCCTCTATGTGCTAGCTGCGTCATTTCTGTTATCTGTTTCCATCAAAACTATTTTAAATCTTTTATATTTGCGAGTCATATTTATTTGGAATCTTTAAGTGCCTGGCATATTTATTGGATGTTGTATGTGTGTGTGTGTGTGTGAGCGTTTCTACATGATCATCTACATGTGCATGTGGGGTGCACATCTATATTTAGATACATGTGTGCATGCACTTGAGAGGCCAGAGGTTGGAGTAGCTTGTCTCCTCCAGTTGTCATCCACTTTACCTTTTGAGTCAGGATCTCTCCCTGACTTTATTCTCACTCATCCAGCTACACCGGCTCTTCCTGTCTCTGCTTCCCAGGTGCTGGGATTGCAAGTGTACATTGCCCTGTTTGGCTTTTTAAAAATCATGGATGCTGGGGATTGAACCCATGCCCTTATGCTTGTCGGCAAGCATTTTACAGCTGAGCCATGTCTCCAGCTCCTGGGTGACAGACATTTCTAATTCATGCTACTAGCTGTTGTGTAGATCATGTTGTGTTGCTGAGAAAGAACTAGGTTGTGTTCTTGAGAGGGCTGAACACTCTAAGGATTGCTCTGGTCCTTTGTAGGCTTCTTTGTTTGCTTGTTGTTGGGTTTGTTTGTTTGTTTTGAAGCACTGGTAGGGCAGGACCACAGCATCCTTTGGATTTGGGTTAATTTAGTTCAACTCTTATGGTGTGATTTTCCTGAAGATTCTCTTCAGGGTTCTGCCTATTGTGAGTCTCTCTTCTCCAGCTGCTGGGAACACTGTGATGGCAGCTGTAGGGGCTGTGCAGCTGCTGCCTGCCAATAGTCACTGCTCTCACTTGTGCAGAGACCATGAAGCCTCAGGCTCCCTGCGGATCCCCTAAGCACTTTCTCTCTCTTTCCTCCTCTCTATACCTTCCCTGTTCCAATATCTATTTTATAGATTCCAGCCACCTCAGCAACCCTAAACTCCCAGCTTTTTCTTTCTCTTTCCCTCCCTCTTTCTTTCTTTCTTTCTTTCTTCCTTCCTTCCTTCCTTCCTTCCTTCCTTCCTTCCTTCCTTCCTTCTTTCTTTCTTTCTTTCTTTCTTTCTTTCTTTCTTTCTTTCTTTCTTTCTTTCTTTCTCTCTCTCTCTTAGCAAAACATCTAGCTTCTGTTTGGATTGGTTTTCCCTCCTGGTGCCCCAGTCCAGAATTTGCCTTCAGACGGAATGTCTCTTAGGAACCAAAGGCCTATGATCTGTTGCCTAATGTCTGAAAAAAGCATTGCTTCATACGTTTTGTCTGGTTTCTAAGTTGTTTAAAGGAGGAAAGCAGTTCTCACAGTGGTTAATTCTTCCTGGGCAGTAGCAGAAGTTCTATGAATTGCAAAATAACTTGTTAGTAGATGGTGGTCATGTGACCAACTTTTCAATGACCAGAAATAAATAGGATTATTTATGATAAAAATTGAATAACTAAGTTAATAAATAAGATATAAGACCACTAAAAGCCCCATAAAACACCATTTTAGAAAAGAATTCTATAGTGACTGATAAAAGGCCTTGGGTCTGCTGCTGTGCATAAAATTAACTAGTTCCCCATAAGAACATTATGTAAGGGGATGTGGGGTGGATTTGCCTTAGGAAGGGTGTGGCAGACTTTACACCTTGAACCATGAGATCTGACTCTCTTCTCAAGGTCTGAGGCTTCTCCCTAGTAAGCCAACACTATAACCTTTCAATTATTCCCTTTTCAATGGTCAAGTCCTCCAATGTCTCAGAATGTGGACCTAGGAGTTTGTCAACCCTGAGAGATTCACCTGTGATAGGTTCCTTTGTGAATTTCTTAACTAAGTGCTATCTCTGGGATTGCATGTCTGCCCCATATGGCAATCTACTCTTGTCCTACATAAGGTTCCTGAACTGGGTATTCATGGGCCAAAGGAAGGGTTTCTCAAGACTCAGCTCCCAAAGCTTTACATCCCTGGATCCCCTTGAGTATGTAATGTATCATATGTCTCTACCAGGGAGTGTAACATGAGGGCCTGCTTGGAGGGATTTCTGTCCTGTCTGGTTCCTGCATTCGTTAAGTCCCAAGGAAAATTACACAGAGAGGTCTACATAAATTATAAACTGGTTGGCCCATTAGCTCAGGTTTCTTATTAACTCTTATAACTTATATTAACCCATTATTCTTATCTATGTTAGCCACATGGCTCAGTACCTTTTTCAGTGGGGTAGGTCACATCCTGCTTCTTTGGTGTCTGGACAGGACTGGGGAGAGAGCTTCCTACTTCCCAGAATACTCCTGTTCTCCTTGCCCTGCCTCTACTTCCTGTCTGATTGTCCCGCCTCTACTTTCTGCCTAGCTACTGGCCAATCAGCATTTATTTAAAACATAATTGACAGAATACAGAATTGTCCTGCACCAAGGGAGTCTCAGTTTTACACATGCTGGGGATAGCTGGCAATGACTGGAGAGTGTGGTTGTTAGAGCTGGGAGGAGAGAGCCAGGCGTGCCACAAAACATCCTATAGTCACGGAATGGCCCAGAGGGAGGAGAGTGTCAGGCATGCGACGGAACACCCTTCAGTCATGGAATGACCCAGAGGGAGGAGAGAGCCAGACATGCCATAGAACATCCTACAATCACAGAATGGCCCAGACAACAAAGGATTGTCAAGCCAGGAAGATGCGTCTTTGGTTTTCCAATATGATGGGAGAGGCAATATGAAAACACATCTCCTTTCAGACTGCCACAGTGTAATCTGCTCTGTGATTTGTGACATCACTCAGCAGGGGACATCTGAAAAAAAAGTCTTTTTAGTTGTAATTCTAAGAAAATTAGAATATGAGTAGCTATGCCTTGTTTGCTTCTTAATTTTATATCCAGTCATCTGCTCAGACCACACAAGAATTCAAATGCTTGATGGGAGACAATGGACTTCAGTTTTCTCATGATTGCTCTGCCATGAAGCTGGTAAATAATTCAGAAGCATAGTAGAGGCCAGTGACCGGGCAACACCTGGTGCTGTATTATCCATGTCTAAGCACAGTGACTCCAAAGATGACACTCTGCACCTGTCGCTGTTGTTCTGCCTTAATCATGGGTCTAGTGTTCCGTGACTACGGATTAGTAGTAATTAATATTTGTCCCAAGTCTCCTCCACAGAGAACTCTGTACTGGCGGGGCACTTTCAAAAGCACCAAGTGGAAATGGCTCCCTCATAAGGTCCTCCATTGTCCCCAGGTTGAGTCTCTCTCGTAAAGGATGGATTGGTTTTCAAAAGCAAGGGTGGGATTCAGGCATGTCCAATCGGTAACCCATGGACCACATATGCCTCCCCTTCCTCTCTCTCCCACCCCACCCCTCCTTCTCATCTATCTTTGTAGCCAGACTGGCTTCAGGCTCCTGCTCACCTAGCTAGGTATTCCAAGCCCTGAGATGTCTGGCTTTCCTTCTCTGAAGATCACACTATTCGTATTACAAACATCTTCTGAGAGAAGTGACGCCTTCCTCAGCCCGTTTCTCAGTCCCTCCCCTAGAACCTGACAAACCCATCGCACTTCTGACAATTTAAAAACCAAGCCAAGCTCAGGGCAACTCAGCTGTCTGGACATGGAAGATTCCTCCTCCACACACTGAGAGAAGAGAGCAAATAGCTACAAGATAATTAATACAGAGAGACAACATGGGTACTCATCCCGGAATCAACTAGAATCAAACAGCTGAAGCCAAGAGCTAGCTGTGCAGTGGTGGTGCACACCTTTAGTCCCAGCACTTGGGAGGCAGAGGCAAAGGGGTCTCTGTGAGTTCGAGGCCAACCTGGTCTACAAGAGCTAGTTCCAGGGCAGGCTCCAAAGCTACAGAGAAACCCTGTCTCGAAAGATCAAAATAAATAAATAAATAAATAAGAAAAAAAGGCAAGAGCTACGTGGAAAGATCTTAGGACACAAATTTTGAGGAGGGAAAGGGAGAAGATATGACTTATAAGTCAAAAGTAAAGTTTTTAAAGAGTTTAGCCGTAAGGTTCTGGATTTAAGAGATTCTTATTAACCTAGAAATTACTAAACATACTTAATCTCTGTTTCTAAAGTACTCATTACAATGAGTTTAATATATTTATTAAAGTATTTTCTATCTTAAAATGTTGTGATATTTATAAGCAGAGAACTACACATAATAGAATGTGACGACATATAATTAAGATAATAAAAGTATTGTAAACCTGTGTGTGCATGTTTGTCAGCTGGTCTACTTGCTTTCCTGCAGGGCCTAGTGTGGGAGCGCGTGGAGCACTGACTGCCCTCTGGTGGTGAAGTGGAATCAACACCGTGTATGACCTGAGATGCCCACTCTCCATCACGTGGTAGCCGCTGGCAGCAAGGGGCCAGCTGAAGAATGTCTGGTGTTCAAATATGACTGCTGAAAGAGCCTAATTAAAACGCCCCTCGCTTCTACTGGAATCCCTCTTCGACCCTGGGTTTGGAGCCCGGCGGCAGCTCTGAGATGGGGCCTCTGAAGGAAAAACGTCAGTTGTTTCTGCATTCTTGCCAGGGAGCAGCCGCAACTGAGTAGGCGCACGTGGAGGGGGCATGTGGTGACATGGAGCTGGAAATCAACTGCTCTGAATTCTGTGACAGTTTTCCTGACCAGGAGCTGGATCGGAGACCCCTCCATGATCTTTGCAAGACAACCCTTGTAAGTGAGCAGTCATGGGCATCAGTGCTACTCATACACACAGGGGTGGGGGTGGGGATGGTGTGGTGGGCATGCGGGTGGGGGTGGGGGAGATGGTGGGGATGGGGTGGTGGCGGGGGCGGGGATGGTAGAAGAGGAACTGCCATGTAGGACAACTTTGCCCAGCTTTGGCGCTTTCTCTAGAGCCTCCATTCTTGTTTTATTTTGTTTTTCGAGACAAGGTTTCTCTGTGTAGCCCTGGCTGTCCTAGAACTTGCTAGGTAGACCAGGCCAGCCTTGAACTCACAGAGATCCGCCTGCCTCTGCCTCCCGAGTGCTGGGATTAAAGGCGTGCGCCACCACCGCCTGGCCCATCCTTCATTCTTAACGGCTTCTTTTTCTTTTTATGTACCTCCAGATTGACTCACAACACAGCGGTGCAGACGTCTCTCCGCTGTCTCCCGCCCTCTTGGGGGTTATTTGGACTTTTCTCAGCTGTGGATTACTTCTGGTGCTTTTCTTTCTTGCTTTCACAATTCGCTGCAGGAAGAACAGGTAAGCGACTTCCTGCCTGGATTCTCACCTCCTGTAGCCAGTACTGTGAAACCCAGAGTGCTAACATCATGTTGGCCCCACGAGCAGCTTAGCCAGCATCCACCCCTGTGAAGCCTGTGATCACAGGGGTCTTGTCTCCCACGCTCCCCACTTAGAACAGATTGACACATAATGGGCGCTCAGTAAATATGTCTGGTGGTCTTGGAAGGGAGGCCAATCCAAGCCGTGAATGCTGCCAAGAAAATAACTGGGGAAAGCACGTGTTTCGGGGTGAGAGAACTACAAGATTTCTATCATGTAAGCTAGTGCCCGGTCAGCAGGTTACACAAGGATGGCATTGTCTCCCATGTGGTTTGCTCCCAGGGAACCAGTAGCTGAACGCATTCCGGGGCAAGCGTTGTCAGCGGAAACAAAGAAACTTGGGGCTGGAGAGGCAACCTGGCTGGTTGAGTGCCTGCTTAGCATTTACCAAATTCTGGGTTCAGTCTCCTGCATCAAGTACAACCGAATGTGGTGACACGTGCCTGTAATCCCGGAACTCAGGAGGGGAGGCGGGAAGATCAGGAGTTCAAGGTCATTGTTTTCGGGTTTTATTGCTGTGAAAAGAAACCAAGACTAGGTCACTCTTATAAAGAGAAAGTTTCCGTTAGGGTTAGCGTATGGTTTCCGAGGTTTAGTCTATTGGATGAAGAGAGCCAAGGAGACGTGCAGGAGGACGCACCAGAGAAGGAGCTAAGAGTTCTGATCCACAGTCAGCAGGAGGAGACTGGATACCAGCCTGGGTGTAGCTTGAGCATGTAAGACCTCCAAGCATTGCCCCAAGGGTGGACACACTTCTTCCAACAAGGCCACACCTACTCCTACAAGGTCACACCTCCTAATAGTGTCACTACCTATAGGCCAAGCCTGCAAACACCTGAGTCTATGGGACTATTCCTAGTCAAAGCGCCAGTCATCCTTGGCTATAGCGAGTTTGGGATAGGCTCTTCCCTCCTAGTCAGTGGGATGGCTCAGTGGGTAAAGGAACTTGCTGCCAAGATTGATGACCTGAGTTTAATCTCTGAGACCCCACATGGTAGAGGGAGAAAACTAGCTGTTGTAAGTTTTACACACACACACACACACACACACACACACACACACACACACACATGCTGAAACTTCACACTCCCAAAAAGGAAAGAAAGCCTTAACCTTGGAATACCACGCCACGGGCTCCCACAGTACACACAGTGACCAGTTCAGTGGCTGCAGGGGCTGTGCCTTCCCTACCCACGGAGCTGAAGGAGCAGAAGAGGACACAGAAGAGACATTAACCCATGTTAAGAACAGACAAGCGCAATCCCTCGATTGCTGAAGCATTGGGTCTAGAGTCCACTTTAAGCTTCAGTGACCATGCTGTCCTTTGAGGATGAATGCCATCAAACCTACATTTTGAGTTTTAAGACTACAAAGGCGAACAGTGATTCTGGGTACACGGCTTCGTGGATATTTGCTGAGGATTAGTGTTTGAACTGGGAAAATTAGTATTTTGTTAGCTATAAAGTTAAATGTAGTTTGAGCGTTATGCTTTCAAGAACAACTTAGTCTTTTTCTTCTGACCAAGACCCATAATTTTTATGAAATTGTTCACAAGGCAGGATTTATCAAACATAGGGGTAAAGATGGCTCAAAGGTTAAGAGTTCTGGTTGCTCTTCCAGATGACTCAGGTTTGATTCCCAGCTACAGGTCAGCTCTCATCCCTCTGTAACACCAGTTCCAGAGCACCCAAGGGCCTCTTCTGGCCTCTGCAGGTACCAAGCACACATGTGGCGCACAGACAGGCATGCAAGCAAAACACCCATGCACCCAGAATTAAATTAAAGTTTAAAAGCTTTATCAAACATGCATGCATACTACTAAAACAGGAACACCTGCTGGGTGTGATGGCGCACGCCTTTAATCCCAGCACTTGGGAAGCAGAGGCAGATGGATCTCTGAGTTCAAGATCAGCCTAGGCTACAGAGTGAGTTCCAGGACAGCCAGGACTCCACAGAGAAAACCTGTCTCGAAAGAACAAAACCAAACCCAGAAGCACCTATGAGCAGCACTGAGGTGGAAACACCTATATTTTTGTCTTTCCACTAAACATTTCCTGCCTGTCTTGTTTGCAGTGGGAGTGTGACTTGGCACAATGAATGAGAAGCCCCGTAGATCAAATTACAGTGTGTGGCGATGTAGTTTATGAGATCTGAAAGGGAAGATGAAAGAATCCATTTTTTTTTTTGAGAGTACCTTACTGAACATAAAATTTGTTCAAATGAGGCAACATCACAATCAGATGGTCTGGCTTATTTCTGTCGAGGTCTCCTGTGCATGCGTGCTATGTGTGAGTGTGTGTTCCTGCATATGAGTGTGCAAGTGATTAATATGAATGCCAAAGGAAGAAAAGCATATTACTGAAACGAAATAGTATAATGATGGTTACGTTTAGTTGTAGACATTGCATTTTTTTTATTTTAAAGTAAAATTAGCATAGTCGACAACAGAAAACCAGTAAAGATGTAGGAAACCTGAACAAACTGGTACTTGTATGACCCTCCTCCCAACAACATCAGGCTCAAATTCTTAACAAGGACACGCACAACATTTGCCAGATTTACCTAGGAAGATTCATTGATCCTGATTACAAAAGTCCTTAAGATCTCCATGCTTTCTTGAGAAGGCTGAGACTCAGCTTTTCTTCATTCTTTCCATTTCTGAGAGTGCTGTATTATCATCCGAGTGAGGCTGATCCTGTTACAGTCAGTAGAAAATGTTCAGTGGACTGAATACTTATATGCCCAGGATACCGTGTAAAATGTGATTTATGGGTTGCGGAGACCTTAAAATTTATCTGTCCCCTGGGTAGAGAAACATGAACAAGATGAGGTACATTCTATTTGGGGGTGGGAAATGGCTTTCAAGCAGAAGTGGGGCTAGCGGGGGAGGGAGAGGACCAGTAGGAAGGGTTGGGGACTGGGGAAGGGTCGACAAAACAAAGAATATGTGAAAATGCCATAATGAAATCCATTGCCTTTATACTGATTTTTAAGGCACTGGTTTTAAAACCCCATGTTGAAGCCCTAATGCCTTGATGCTGGGTAGGACCTGTGCTGTTTTCGTATTGATTGCTCCAGGGCCATCATCTTTGTGGTTTGACTCATTGGAGCTGAAAGCAAGGTGATGGGAAGGACAGGCCAGCAATCCCAATCACTTAGGGCGGAGGAAAAGCTTGTGCACGGAGTTCTGGGATCATAGCTGTAACCTTTGACCTTGTGATTGCTAACCGGGACAGGAGAAGAGGAAGCAGTCCAGCTGGGAACAGACACTGGCCATGTAGCTCAAGTTAGGAAGACATCAGCAGGGTCAGGGGCTGGATGGAGCAGAGGGGCCAGGAACAGATCCTACAAGAAGCTGCGATTCACAGAAGGAAAATATTATTTGGGTCGTCGTTTCCAAGGGATTGAGCAGCGAGCTAAGAGCAGATGTAGTATTTATGAGGTCAGATGCCACTGGTGTGCAGGAACAGGGCAAGAAAGGAGACGCAATGCGGATGCAGGGTGCTGGGTGGGGAGGTCTTTCCTGGGTCCTGTCTCTGGAAAGGAGTACGGTGGGAGTGTGTGGAGGCAGTAGGGGTTAATAGTGGGGTCTCAGCACAGGGCCTAGATAAACATCAAGCCCAGATGAACTGCTCACATCGTCCTTCAAACATCTGTGTATGGGAATTTACGTAACTAGCCAAGCATAGTGGCATAAACCTTGGGAATCAGAAGCTGGAGGATCACCGGTTCAAGACCAGCCGGGGCTACATAGAAAATCCCTGTCTGAGAAAAACAAAAATAAATAAGTAACTAAAACAAAAAGAGACGCAAGGGCGGGCAAGATAATAAAGTGGTAAAAGCACTTACTGCCGAGCCTGTTCACCTGACTTCAGTCCCAGGGCCCATATGGAGGAAGCAGAGAGCTGACTCCCTCAAGTTTTCCTCTGATCTCCATATGCATTCCATGGTATGCATGCACATGCACACAAACAGACAAACACACTGGACAGACAGACAGACAGACAGCTGAACACAACTGTCATTAGCCTCTTACAGCTGATGATGGATGGCATTTGCTGAATTGGGAGAAGGGAGTTTTAACTCCCTTACCAAATATTGAGATCCTTGAACTCTTTTTCTAAAAAAAAAAAAAAAAAAGTTAAAGATTCGGTTTTATGCTCATTGGTGTTTTGTCTGTAGGTGTGTCTGCACGCAGTGCCCTCGGAGTCAGGAAAAGGACACCATATCCCCTAAAACTGGAGTGACAGGCAGGTGTGAGTTGCCATGTAGATGCTGGGACTCGAACCCTGGCCCAGTACTCTCACCACTGAGCCATCTCTCCAACCCCCCCCCCCTTTCTGGATTTTTAATATTTATTAATTTACTAGTGGTGCTGAGGGTCGAACCCAGGGCCTTGCTTGCGCTAGGCCATTAGTCTGCCATTGGCCATGCCCGACCTCCTGAGTGTTTTCTTCATTGCTCTCCATTGTGCCCAGATTACGCTGTTTCCCAGGGGAGCACGTCCAAGTCCCGGGATAAACTCTTGGAACGCAGCTCCAGGTCTACACAGACTGCGCATAGCAAAGCAGCCGCTTTTCACCGTAGCCCCTCCCCTCGTGTTTGCCCCCCTCCCCGGACCCCAGACAGGACCTGGAAAGTTCCAGATCCCCAGCCCTTCTGGTTGTGGTTCTTCCAACTGTCCTCTCAGTCCTGTCGCCCCACTGAAGCGGGGCTGTCCTTGGCGCACTAGCGCCACAGCAACGGTAGGCTGCCCTTCTGAGTCAGGTTCTCGTTACCTACAGATCTGTGAGTTCAAGGCCAGGTTGGTCTGCACACAGGGATCTGGGCCAACTGGGACTGCAGACAGACTCTGTCTGTAAAAATAAATGCGCGCACACACACACACACACCCTAAATTGTCAAGCCGTGTGCCAGAT